TGGTGGAGAGGGAACGGGACCGGGGAGGGGAGAGCCGTGGTCGCGATCGGGAGGGGTAAGCGGAAACCCGCTTCCACTCCGTTCGCCGCTGTGTTGGATCAAATATCCTAACCGTGGGGCGTAACCCGTTCCACTGCCATCATTCACGACATCCTCGCCTCCCCCGTCACACTCGACATATACAACGTACCACACACAGCGTGCACATGGGACTACCTTAACGACCTCATACTCCTCCACCATCAACAAACCCACCACCCACTCCCGCCCTTCCCCACCTACAGGTTGGACATTATCGACCGTGCTGTTGCATACCTTCAAACACAAGTCGCCCCCCAACGATGACAACAGCTACCAACACTCCGGCGCCAACCATTCCAGACAACTTCTTCAACACAATCTTCTCCTGCTGCTCCCTCTGCTTCAAGACAACTTTCTCCTGCTGCTCGCCAAGACACTCCTTCAACAGACGGTGCATGCTTCGTGAACCACTGCCATGAGGGCCCATGATGGTGACAGAGACAAAGGCCGACAAAAAGAGACAGGGACAAAAAGACCGATGGTGACAGAGACAAAGGCCGACAAAAAGAGACAGGGACAAAAAGACCGAATCCGTGTTTGCAGTTCATCTGGACTTCCTCTCCTCTTTTGTATGTACTCGACCGTTCGAATGTCCCTGCTCCTACGCCGCAGCCTCCACTTGTGTAAAATAATAACACAAGCAACTTTTGCCTGGGAGGCATGTTCAAATTCTTCACTAACCGCGAGTTAAAAATAGAAAACCGAAGAAAACAAGTTAATTAAAAAAAATCATTAAAAAAAAGTTTGACTGAACACGTTGGGAGGCATTCGGCCGAGGACCCGAACGTGTTTGGGCGTTTGCGAAAGCCCCGAACACGTTCGGTGTGCTATAGAGAATTTGGCTTGCTTTTTTTTCCTTTTTCTTCTTTTTCAGCGGGTCAAGTCACCGAAGACTCGACAACAGACCACACAACAATGTATACGAGTTCACAATCCAGTCAAACCAACTTACTATTCTGATCATTACAATGCTATCAGGGTTATTCAGAAGGCAAACAAGGAGGATGAAGAGCCATAAGTCTCGACTGTCATCAGTATTTTCAAAAGCATCACCAGGATCACCATGTCAGCCATCTCTTCTACGCATTCAAAGACGCCTTAGTCCTGAGAGAGCACAACCCTCTCGCTCACATCTATTCATACGAACCACCCTTTTTAGCGTAGTTGCGACCCCTGCTTGCCTCAGCTGTAACAACCCTCTCAACTCATCATCAAGCCTTCAGTTTTGCAATCAAAACCGACCATCATTAAAATGGCAAAGAATTTTGACGTGACCCTGAGGCAAAGGTTGTTCAGTTTTTTTTTTTTTTTTTTTTTCTAAAGAAATCCAGATCGTAGTAGAGGCTGGATGCTAGGCCTCGGGGGGTGCCTGTAGTTGTACTCCACCAGTGGGGAGATCAGATGGCTTGTGACAGCCCCCCAAGGACAGTCTCCTCCAGGGGGCATCATTCGTGAACTCTTTTTTTGTTATCCTAATCAGATCGCAAGTCGAGCCCTACAGCGGTGCGACCCAGACCTGTCTGCAGACCTAGACCTACACCAACCCGCGCCTTCCGAGGGTCTCAGATGAGTGTACCCCCCCCGGGCAGTACCATAGGGACACCCCGAATTCTCGAGGACGACCCGGACACAGGAGGGGTCACGAATAAGTGGTCATTCCCAACCTGTATCACATCTAGCAGACTCTATGGGTGTCTACCACCCTTCTACTATCAATGCGACGACCCACCCTTCCCTGCCTAAGATGAGACCCCTACCCAGAGACCCTTCCCCAGATTCACGCCCCAATCGACCCTCTCAATTGGAACGCCGACAGGTACCAGCCCAGATGAAGCCCAGCCCGCAAGCATCATAAGATAGACATGAGGCCCGCCCTTGGGAATCGTATATGCCCAACACCCAACCCTTACGAAAGGGGGGTGTGGAGAGCGGAGGCAGACCGGAACCAGGATCGTACAATGCACGTGCACCATGAGGCTGGGAAACTGCCGTTCATCAGCTGGATAGGGTCCTTCCATCATCTGACATATAGTGGTTAAGGTGCATTGTACAGGGACGCTGAACCCGTTTTCCAGCAGGTGCAGCTCCCCACCAGTAGATGGAGCCTTCAACGCTGGGACCTACTTATCGGGGATGCTCTTATCACCTTGCTAAGTAGGTTTCCCGTATACGAAGTTGGGAAACTGCCACAGTACCCAGACACATCCCATGACACACCTACAGAGCAGTGCAGACGAACGAGGCGGCGCACAGACAAGCACACAATCTCTACACAAACTCCTACCTAACATAATCTAGACCTAGGATCTCTACTGACGCATGCTCAGTTGAGCAATGTATATGGAGCCAAGGAGCCGCAAAGTGATGAAAGGACTCGAATGGACAATGCATCATTAGCAAAGCATCACAAGGAATGTACATCCAGATACATGTGAAGACTCAAAGATATGACCTGACCTGTCAGATACTGACGCGATATCCCATCATACACCACACATGTGAGAGAGGGAGGAGGGACTGCATACACAGAAGAAAAGGTCCCTCCTTGCACACACACATGGGGGAGATATCACGGATGAGAGATGGGGTGAGAGGCGAGAGGAAGATGGAGGTGAGGGAGAAGACCAAGATCACGATAGCGAAGTCCAAAAATAGTCTCCCTGCCGAATGTCCAATCAATGTCTGCCACGAAAATGTTGCATCAGATCCTGGGCCTGATGTCCGATGTAATCTCTGCCGCTCTCTCTCTCTCTCTCTCTCTCTCTCTCTCTCTCTCTCTCTCTCTCTCTCTCTCTCTCTCTCTCTCTCTCTCTCTCTCTCTCTCTNCTCTCTCTCTCTCTCTCTCTCTCTCTCTCTCTCTCTCTCTCTCTCTAAGAAGGAGGAGGAAGGAGGGAGAAGAGATGGAGGGCGAGACGAAGAAGAAGAAGATGTCATCCTCCTCGCTGTCTCACCTGCAGGTAACTACCGCGATGTACTGACTGCCGCTGTGGTCCCTGTGCAGGTCGCTGGCGTGGAGCGCAGCTATGGCGCCCAGGTAAGAACCGCTGACGCAGGTATGGCCTCCGCCCCTCTGCCTACCTACACCTCTACCTCTACCTCCTAGCGTAGCGCTGTAGTGTCGCAGCACTGCTCCAGCAGCGTGTCGCCCAAGAAGTGAGCTACTCGAACTGTGTCCCTGCCCAGCCGTGGCCCAGCTATAAGTAGCTCTGGGCCGGCCGGTCTGCCTCTGTGTGCCTACGGTCCTGTGCCCAAAACGTGGGCCTACTGGGTGTGGGTCCCGACCGGACGTCCAGACCCTGTACCTGGCCCAGGGAGGCCTGCCTCCTGGTGAACCTGGCCCAAGGCGTGGCCTTGGGGACTGCAGGCCCGAACTGACGCTTGAACAGACAAAAATAGGACAGCAAATAAATAAATAAATAAATAAATAAATAAATAAATAAATAAATGAATGCTGTCTCGAATTGAATCCTGTGGCCTAAGGGCCAGCGTGGGGCCGAAGGGCATGTGGCCTGGGGCCCCCAGCAACCGCCGGGCCCCCAAAATAGGGCCCATGCGCAGTCTCAGCATGTAACATCTACGCAACTTACCTCCCCTACCCCACCCATGGTGAGTACACGAGACATGACCCAGAGATCATTGGACCACACACTACACACAACCCACACCGACACACAAACGCACACAGGCACACTGGTCAAACCACACCAAGGCCAACCACACAAACAGCCCTCCCCCAAGGCCCTGCTGCCAGCATACTGCAACCATGGACTAAACCCCCTAGGTGGTGGAAAAGGATTGGAGGTTAAACATAAGCAATCCATTTGTGAATCATAAGAGGGGGCACCAGTCAAGGCAGTGATAAAAAAGTCAGACTAAGTTCACAAATTTGACAAAAAGAATACTAAATAAAACAGTAGTAGCTATAAAAAGCACCACAAATTCTATGAAAAATAGAGAAAGTAGAAGTTAATTGTGAATAATTACCTTGCGTCAGTCCAAGGGGGACTGTGCGAATGGCTTGTTCGCTATGTAAACACTGTCGGTGTACGTGCGCGAGGCAAACGGAGTTTTGAACCCGCAACTTCATACGACAATGCGCATTTCCAACCGGTGCTCTAACCACTGAGGCAACGGCCATCCACGTTCAGTTTATTTTTCTGCTCAACAGCTAAGCTACCGGAGTGGCCCGGGGTCACTTGCCCGGCCGGGCCAAAAAATAAAAATAAAAAATATATTTTTACATTTTATTTTTTATTTTGGTGAAGAATTTTGATGTGACCCTGAGGCAAAAGTTGTTCAGTTTATTTTTCTGCATAACATAGTTTTTTTTTTTTTTTTTGGAGGAACCTTCCTTGGTCCTTGCACGGGCTGGCCACCCGGGACCCGGGCGGCCCGGCTGGTAGCCTAACTCAACAGCCCCCTTTTTTTTTTTCCCGTTTTCTATTTTTGTTTTTTTTGCCACTTTTATTTTTCACAGGGACCTTCCCTGGCCCTTTCCCGGCTGGGCCGCCCTGGCAAAGAAGGTGACAGGGGTGGCCCGGTTGGTAATGCAGGTACTTAAAACGGTAATGCTGATAACCCTATGTGGGTTTAATGCCAGCAAACGATGTGTGGAACCAGCTCCCTGGGCCACCATTGCGTACTGTCCATAATTGCACTCTAGGAGTCTAGGCATGCGTGGGATCTTGATCATACCGACTCTGATCCCATGCCTTGGGGCCCCGGTCACCATAGTCTGACTCATGAGTGAGGGCTTATTACCTACCTCCTTTCTCTTGGCACTTTTTGACGTGCTAGTGGCATTTGTAAGAAAGATTCTGGACAGATGGACAAAAAGTCATTGTCAAACATGGCTGTACTGTTTTGCCTTGTGTTTCTTACCTTGTATTCTTGCTTTCCTGTTCTTCCTCCTTCCTCAGGGGCTATAACATTGGGATTCGCTTGATTGATGAATTCCTCGCAAAAGCAAACATATCACGGTGTACGGACTTCAAAGAGACCGCCGACGTGATTGCAAAGGTGCGTACAGCACAGGCACTAGCTGGATCTTTGACCTACCTACCTGCCCACGTACCCACGTACCCACCTACCCACGTACCTGTCACCTACCTACCTATCACCTACCTACCTACCTATCTACCTATTGTTTACCTTGGCTTTTCCTCATGTTTCCCTGGGCGATTCGGTTGATTGATGAATTCCTCCCAAAAGCAAACATATCAAGGTGTACGGACTTCAAAGAGACCACCGACATGATTGCAAAGGTGCATTGTGGCATTCTCCGTACCACATGGGCCCCTGCTGGGCCCGACAAGTAGGTAGAGGGGTAGGGCGAGGTCCGAGGTCTGTTAGGATTAGGCCCAGTGTCGTTTCAGGGTCTACTGTCAGGTCTAGGTTAGGTCTGGGCCGTTTTAGGCCCTGGGCGCCATTTTGGTAGGCGCAAGACCCAGTCCAGGTTCGGCAGGCCTGAGGTCCGTTTTGGCGCCATTTCATTAGGTGCCAGGTACCAGTCTGCAGTAGGCAGTTTAGGTGCCAGGATGGTTAGGCGCCCGATTCGAGTTGAGGTGCCAGTTTGTCACGAGGCAGCCCCTGAGGCTGGACCAGCTGGTCCGCGTCAGTGGTAGAAAAGTAGCACTCAGGTAGCAATGAGTTAGTTGGGAGGTAGACGTCAGTTAGTCCACACACTGGGCACTGTTTGGGTTAGTCGACAGCGGTGGGCGCGAGTTAGGAGTTAGAGCACTGCAGTCGAGCTGCAGCAGGAGTTGAGAGGGAGAGAGAGAGATGAGGCGGAGGCCAGGGGAAGCTACCTTGACTTACCTGTGACGCCACAGCTCCAGCTTCGTCTCCGCATGTTCTCACCTGCATCAAGGCACCACCTTTACGCAGGTCAGTACTTGGCACCTAAAGAGAGCTAGAGGGGATTCTTTTTCTTCTTCTTTCTCATCCTCCAGCCATTGCTCCTTCCCTCCCTCCGGATCTTCTTCTTCTGCTGCTGAGAGAGAGAGAGAGAGAGAGAGAGAGAGAGAGAGAGAGAGAGAGAGAGAGAGAGAGAGAGAGAGAGAGAGAGAGAGAGAGAGAGAGAGAGAGAGAGAGTTGACGTTGAGACTTGGTGACCTTTCGGGCTATGTTGACTGATCCTCGCTATCTCCCTCTCCCCCTTTGTCTCTTCTCCCCTCTTCGTCCGTGGATGTATCTGGACTCAGCGCCCCTTCCATGATTGATCTGCCGAGTCCGCTCACACTGAGTGATGATGAGTGCTGTCAGGACCTGTCATTGTCCCTGCTGAGGCAGATCTTCGTATTCCAGTCTTCCACTGTGCTATTTTTGTATTGTCTCTGATAGGTCGGTTCGTGGTTCTGATTGATGCTGATTAGGCATGCGACATGTGTACAGCACAGGCACTAGCTGGATCTTTGACCCACCTACCTACCTACCTACCTACCTACCTGCCTCCCTGCCTACCTGCCTCCCTGCCTCCCTGCCTCCCTGCCTCCCTGCCTCCCTGCCTCCCTGCCTCCCTGCCTCCCTGCCTGCCTGCCTGCCTGCCTGCCTGCCTGCCTGCCTGCCTACCTGCATACCTACCTCTTGTTTTCCTTTCCTTTTTGTGTTTTCGTGGGCTTTTCCTCGGTCTACTTTTCCTCTGCTTTTCCTCTGCTTCCTTTTGTGTTTTGCCTCTCCCCCTTTCTGCGTCCATCACTTAACACTCAATCACGTATGAACGAATGAGGAAGTTTTCCATGCCGGTGTGATATAATAAAAAAACAGAGTAGATCTGGATTGTTTGATGAACGGGGTGAAGCACATGCAAAAATTGGCGTGGATCAACTTGGATATTGCAAAGATTCTTTAAAAATTAATCAGATTCTACAAGGTGTTTGCAATTATTTTACCTTATTTATATGTTTGACGCTCCACTTCGGTGATGGTGCTGCACTACTTGACTGGCAGGTTGGCTTGAAGATGTTTCTAGGAGTCACTGGAACCGTTGCGAATTGGAATCAAGACAATACAGAGTGCAGCCTGATCCTCGACGACAATCCACTTGTAGATTTTGTAGAGCTTCCCGAAACTTGTCAAGGCTTGTTGTACTGTAATATTCTTTGTGGTGTTATCCGCGGAGCTTTGGAAATGGTAAGGGTGCAAAATTGCAAATCTCTGTCTTCCGCAGTGTGTTCCTAACTTGTGCGGCTGATTTGCCATTTCCGGGTTTTCCCTATATTCTTTCTTACCGCCTGATTTCCGTGATGTTCTGAATAGCACTGAAGTTGGATAAGAAAGAAAAAGAAAAAGAAAAAGAAAAAGAAAAAGAAAAAGAAAAAGGGCGACGGCCGTAAGATATCGTTATTGCACCGACCGGCACCTAGGTAATTCAGAATTGTAGTAGTTTTTCCCAAAAAAGAAAGACAAAAAGAATTGCAGTAGTTTACTCGTCTGCTTCCACTGGAGTTTGAACTCACAGGTCTGCACTTCAACAAGTTCAGGAACCTCAGGGGTGTATCAGCTGGCAAGGCCAGTTGGTGACTGAAGTTGGAATTCTAGCCCGGAAAAAATGTTGGAATTTCAATGACCCATCGTAGCATCCCTTGAAATCTGAAATGCATTTATTTTGGGGGAAAGCAAGAAACAAATCCAGATACAAGTGGAGCCTGAGATTACAAAGAATATGAGTAGTGATTAGGGCTTGGAAGTTGGGGGGTGAAGATAAGGAACAAAAGCAGTATATGTATATCGGCAAACAGAGCTGCGCGGTAAACCGCATGCAGAGAGGGAGAAGAGGACAACAAACGAGGGGTTGTGACAAACTGTTTCATCGGAGTTTCACCGACTCGTCAGGAGGCCATATATATCTTCAAACAGAGCTGCCCGGTAAAACCGTAGGCAGAGAGGGAGAAGAGGACAACAAACGAGGGGCTGTGACAAACTGTTTCGTTGGAGTTTCACTGACTCATCAGGACTCTCTCTCTATATATACATATATATACATATATGAGTCGGTGAAACTCCGATGAAACAGTTTGTCACAGCCCCTCGTTTCTTGTCCGCTTCTCCCTCTCTGCCTACGGTTTACCGGGCAGCTCTGTTTGTCGATATGTATGTTTGCGAGGTAATGAGCAACAGAAAGTGACCTGTGAACCACACCCCCTTTGAGCACAGGCAGTGGTCCACATCCTGAGTTCATCAAAACAGAAGGGCAAACTGTTGCAAGCAGGAGTGGATATGCTAACCTGTGAATCGGCTAGGTATGTAAAAGTAGGTGTAATGAATGCGAAGGAGTTTCAGAGAAGCACAATCACACGCAGGATTACGAGCTGATAGAATGCTGCCAATTCAGCAGTCGAGTGCAATGGCTATCTTGACAGAAGGGCAGACTGCCGTCAGCAATTTTTTTTTTTTTTTTCATTCCTAGAAAATGGTTTTCTCCTAACCGTCTCAAATTTACTGGATTTGAACTGCTAACCTGTGGATCAGCCAGTCTATTTTTGTACAATTTGGCTGGTGATGTGGCTGGGTGCTCTGTGTGCGGGGTACCTTCTACTCCCTCCTGGGTTCTTTGGTACCTTAGCTATACCGCTCTTAGTCGCAGCTGTGTGCTGTGTGTGGCAGGTATTACTATGTTGGCTGGATACTGTGTGTGCTGGGTGGTACTATGTGGGCTGGGGGGTAGGTATTATGTGGGCTACGAGCTATTTGTTGCACAGTGCTATGTGCCCCGGGCTGGGTGCTATGCGCAGTAGCTGGTACGGGTTGTGGTATCTGAGGTGGGTGACACTATGTGGGCTGAGCAGTGGAGTGTGGGTTGGTCGTGGTCCTACGGGGGATAGTCGTAGTATTTCGGGTGGGTCGTATGGTGCGGGTTGGGTGGTACCCTGTGGGGTGGTAAGAGATCCACTGGGGTGGGTCGTATGATGTGGGGTGGGTGGGTGGTACCATGTGGAGTGGCAAGGGATCCACTGTGGACTTTGTAGGGCGAATGAACAGCGGTTCGAATACATTCACTGCTGGGATGCTGTGTGCTTGTATTTTAACGGTTGAGCAGACACGTTCGAAGACTGGCACGCTAATCTGAAGCAGTAGCACAGCCAGGAAGCGAAGTGATGGAGTTTGCAATGAAACAGCAACAAGCAACTCTTCGTTTCTTCCCTTTTCCCGTCCTCTTCTCGAGGCAGAACGCAAAGCAGTCAAGAGGCTGGATTAGCTTTTGCCATGTCCCAGTATCGTACCACCATGCCTATCAGAAGCAATAGCACAACCAGGAAGCATGTTGTGTGGTTGTCCAAACAAGCAACACGTCATCCTCGTCGCTTCTGCACTTTTCGCCTTCCCTTCTCTCATGTCTCCTCAGGGGCAGCAGCAAGCGTCACGAGAGGGCACCTGCAGCCATATATACAGTCACAGCTTGGCTGACCTCGCATATGGCTAAGGGTTAGGCCCCGCCGGTGGCGTGTTCTTTCTTGGCAAGCATGAACCTGGCTGTGGTGGCCAGATTCGTGCTTTCTTCTATGCTTTCCTTGCATGAACATAGTACCACTGGGGCCTGTTTTCCGTGCATGAACGTAGTACCACTGGGGCCTGTTTTCCGTGCATGAACGTAGTACCATTGGGGCCTGCCTCTAACTAAGAGGCCGAGAGAGAAAATTGCTGAAGTCTGAAGGGCAGCAATGCTTTGCCCAGGAATGGCCAACATTGTTAAGTTGTTAGAGCAGTGTCCTAAGGCTTACCCATGCACAGGTGCCTGAGGGCCAGCCCCCACGTCTCCTATCTCTATGCCAGATGAGCCCGAATGTGGGTGGTTTTCGACCGAATTTACTCCTGAAATCCAGGCTCTTGGAAAACTTCCCTGCGTCCGTGTTGTACATGAGCACAATCGTCGTTGTAAAAGTCGCTCGGTTTGTGCCAGCATAGCGCAAATGTACTGCCAGTGGCCAGGATTCGACCTTGCTTTATGGACCATTCTCGCCTGCGAATGCATTAGTTATTACTAATTAGCACACGAGGAGGGTGGCAGAGTTAGAAATCGAGATATAGGAAAGGCGAATGGGAGGGAGAGAGGAACTCAGTGAGATGGAATGTGTCTATAGCTTGTTCTGCCTTGTCTAGCTTGGTGCTCTGTTCCACCTCTTCTTGAACACTTGTTGAACTAGGCTGTTATTCTCTCAACGCACAGGGTCTTTAAACTTCTCGTCGTCCTCCTCCTCCTCCTCCTCCTCCTCCTCCTCCTTCTCCTGCTGCTGCTGCTCCTGTTCTCCTCATCCCAAGTCTGTGTATACCATCATCCAAGGTCCCCCCTCATGACTTCCATGTCATGGAATAAAAAGCAGGATGGGAGCTGAGTGAAAGGAAGGAGACAAAGGAGGACAGGAGAAGAAGAGACTTTGCCTGTGCCGAGGGAGCTTCCTTGATTTTTCCAGGAGGATATCACATGTTCTTAGCCTATTGACTCCCTCCCTCTACTTTTCTTATTGACCACTGCTGTCTCTCAGTACCACAACTACCCCTCATCAATCTTGGCCAGAAACCTGGACCTCTACACGACGTTAATAAACCACCAGCGTTCCCACCGCGTTTGGGTCTCCTCTTTCCCAAACTAGTGTCTTCACCCGAATAGATCGCCCGGTTGTTATCGCTGCATCTGGACTGAAATTTGCCCCAATTACGGCTGTAATGACTGGGCGTTCTCTATTCGGGTGAAGTCGGCAGGCCCAGATTTTCCCCTGCTGGACTGCCAGAAACAGGTATGTATACATGACCTTGTCAGGTGTGGGTGTGGCAGGTCGGTCTGGAGGTAGTGGCCTTTTTTTCTAAGTTCTGGCTGCGTCCCTGGCTGGCATGAGTACCTCCCCATGGCGTCTACAACTCCAAAACCTATTTGTTTTTCACGAAACCGGGAGCACCGAACCTACGGGTTCTGGTCCTACCGCGTCACGACAGGAGGCGAGAATATGTGACCTTTGCCGCCGAGATATATATTGCCATCAAGAAGAGGCAATACACTTTCAGATCCATAGGTCCACGGAAGGCCAGTGCGTTAACTGGCGCACCTTGCTCATGTCCTGGTGCTTCAAATTTCAAAACTACCTCTCAACCTGTAATTTACCCAAACTGTGGGGCGTAAAAGCATATGCATATGCTGTCAACAATAAAGCTTCCGCGAGGACTCCCAACCTGTGTGCAAAACATAGAATTTGATGGCTGTACAAGAGGGAAAGCATCTTACAATGCATGGGATCAGTGTGTGAGGACCCAAGTGGACACAGTACAAGGGGTCAACGTCGACACAATATTGGCCCCATGCGAGGGTCCAATGTGAACCCAATAGGGGGCCCAATATGAGGGGCCAGTGTGGACCCAATATCGGCCCGATATGAGGGGTCAATGTGGTCCCTATTGAGGGATCAATTTGCGCCCAAAATGGGCCCAACACAGTACAAGGGGTCAACGTCGACCCAATATTCGCCCAATACGAGGGTCCAGTGTGGACCCAATATTGCCCCAATACGAGGGGCCAATGTGGACCCAATAGGGGGCCCAATATGAGGGGCCAATGAGGACCCAATATCGGCCCGATATGAGGGGTCAATGTGGTCCCTATTGAGGGATCAATGTGCACCCAAAATGGGCCCAACACAGTACAAGGGGTCAACGTCGACCCAATGTTGGCCCAATACGAGGGTCCACTGTGGACCCAATATTGGCCCAATACGAGGGGCCAATGTGGACCCAATATGGGCCCGATACGAGGGGTCAATGTGCACCAAGATGGGCCCAACATTTGTGAACCCAGTATGTGGGTAGTTCATTGAGGTGTGAAAAAGTTTGTATGTGCGGTACGGTGGTAAGAGTGGAAACACGGTGCAGGAGTACGTCATTTGAGGAAGTGCAATGGGGCGATGGGGCCGGAGGTGGATGTTCTGTGAGGTGTGAAGAATATGATATGTGTGGCCCTGATAATGCGTCTGGAAAAAGAAAAAAAAAAGATGATGCGTCTTGCAAACCTTGAATGCACTGTTCCTAAGAGAAGAAAAGGAGAATAATATCATAAACTATCACGGGCGCTTCCCTGGTTCGAGGAAAGTGGGATGGCGAGCGTGTGAGGTTGATGTTCTGTAAGGTGTGAGAAATATGGTATGTGGGGTGCAATTTGTGTGGATCGGGTACGCTTGTGCAAAACCTTGCATCCACTGTTTGTCAGAGGACAATGAGAGAAGAAACTTCAAGGAAGACATTATGAGTCACAAATAAACCGCAACGAAGTGGACTTAGCGACCTGAAAAAAGTTCAGTGTTGTTGAGGGTTGCAATAAGACTTTTTACTGACATGCAAGAGGGGGCTGTCAGTGGAGTGCCAGTGATGATTGTCAGCAGTAAAGACTCATGTGGCAAAAGGAAGGATGGGCACTATTTACGCAACCCATGTGGCTGAATGGCACAAAGCGGCAACAGCTTGAATCTGGATGGAATTAGGTGAATAATACTGAATATAATAATATACAATGTTATACATGCAACGTATGCAGTCATGTAAGCGGCCATTTGCGTCCTCGGAAAAAAAAAAAAAAAAACAAGAAGAAGAAAGGGAAGAGAATGGGCACTGTCTGACAGCCTATGGCAAAAAGGCGAAAGTGCCAGTTCATGTATGTATGTCCGTCTAGCCAATCTACGACGCTCGTGGGGGAGAGGAGAACAATTTGAGCCCCCTTTTTTTGCGGAGCCTGTGCGTTAATGTTTGATTGAAAGTGTTTGAAAGTGTTGTTGCCCCAACTGGGGGAAAGAAGGGAAAAAGCCTTCGGAAAGGAGGAAAAGTAGTGCAAAAATAGCGCAGGGGATGCCCGACACATATCTATCGCCCCTGGTTGTCAAATGGCTGCCCCATTTTAATCAGCGCACCCTAAGCACATGTGGTGACCCGCCGTGTCCACTGGTATCCATTTCTGCCTCTGTCTCTGTGTTTGTGTTTCAAGCTTTCATCTCTATGTGGCTTCGACCGCTCCTCGTCCAAGTCTATTCCATTTCTGGCCATTTGTTTCAATCTCTGCGGTCTGTCATAAATTTGGAGAATTTGCTTCTAATCTTAGAACTTTGAAAACGAAAACCGAGTAAAGAAAGAATTGTTGCAATTTTTTTCTGTCAGAACTCAGGTCCAAAAAAAGGAAAAAAACAAAACAGTGACATGCATGTACCATTCAAGGACATGTGTGTAGGGACATGTTTAGGGACGTGTGTAGGGATGTGTTTGGGGACGTGTGTAGGACGTGCGGAGGGACATGTGTTTACCATTCAGCCATGAGGATGGGGGTTGATTCACATGTTTCATAGGTCGTTGATAGAAATGAATGAAGTTCAATCAATCAAACATTTCAAGAAAAGAATTAAAAACAAGCGAGGGCACTCTTGCCTCTGGCTAGGAAAATGCTACGCTGACTTGAGGTCCAGGTGCTGACCGTAGTATGCCATATGGTGCTTCAATGCCAAATGTTCATAGAGTTCGCAGAAAAAATGACAAAAGTTGGGTGTTTTTTTTTTCCGCCGTAAATTGATCCTGTAATGGACAATGTAATGTTTTGCTGAAGCTTGGGTGGGTTGGATGTAACTCTGCTTCTTTACCTTGCCATTGAATTTGAGCAGGTGTCTATGAAGACAGAAGCTCGATTTGTCAGAGATGTGCTGCGGGGAGATGAAGCGTATGAGATTCGATTAAAACTGTTGGAGCACTTGCCAGAAGTTCTCCCCTATAAGGACGATGATTGAAGCCGTTTGCCGGAGTTGATGATCAGAGCGGATGTAGGAGAAATTAGGACCGAAGGTTTCCAGGCACTGGTGTGCGCGGCACGTGGTGGCGAACTCGAATCATCTTGAGTTTTCATTTTCTGACTATTCCTTCCCCAGCTCGCGCCTCCCCTTGTGGCCCCTCCCCCCGCCCCCCGCCCCCCCTCCTCCCCCCTACCCTTCCCATCCCTCCCCCATTCCGTTGTAAGGTTGTTTCGTACTAATAGGGTTATCCAGTTTAAGTTGTTTGTGAGTGCATTACTGATATTCTTCCTGTTCTCTCAGCTATGTGTACATGTCCGTCGTTCCGAAGTCGTTTAGTGTCTTGTGTTTCAGACAATTCTTTGTGTGATTGTGAATGATGGGCTGTTGGTATCTATCTGGTCTCTGTATGGAGACGTTTATGTTGTGATGCTTATAGACTTGTGCATCGGTGTCGAAAAAACTCAGACTCATCACTTAAAACAAGTCATTTGAAAATTGAAACAGATCATTTCAAAAATTAAAATGAATAAACAAATCATTTAAAACGAAACGAGAAGCACGAACTCGTTGCTCATATCAGCTTGTGCAGGGATAATTGCTCCGTATCCTTCACACTTTGGGGCTTGCCACACCACGCACGAGTCGGGAAAAATGTGAGTGCATCTTCCTGGAGAAAGTAGCACGATAGATCCGTTCCTAATTTTCTTAGTAACGGACGAATCTTTCTGCCTTCTTCAGGTAGATGCACTCACATTTCTTCTCGTCTCGTTTTGTGCACGGTGTGGCGAGGCCCTTTGTGCTGTCTCTGCTCCAATGCCTTCTTGAAATCCAAGTGGACAGGGTATCGTGCGGTCAATCCTGGAGGCAAATCCAGAGCAGTTCGAGCAGTGGCGTTGGTGCAAATAGGACGCAAATTATAAGCAGCAATGGAGCAAACATCCCTCAGATGAACTGACAGTTGTAGGAACAGTCTGCGCTGGGCCAAGTTTCAGAACATGCTCACAGTAGGAAGACTTTGTGAGGGCATTCTCACATCACATCCTCGAAAATTGCAGAATTGCAAAATCGGCGAGCAGATCCAGGCCTCCTTTTAGGACTCAATCTAGCCGCTGATTTTGCGATGTTGCGATTTTGAGGGCCTAGTTTCTGTGCGTATAGTCTGAGTCTTTCTTGGCTGAGCTTTTGAGTCAATTGTTATCGGATATGTCCAGGCCCTGCTGTACAGTGGTGTGCACCTACAGGGGCCTGGCTGTAATTGTGGTCCCAGACGTTCACGTCTGGGGAAGTTGTTATGCGAGTATGCCCTCAAATTATTTTCAGGTTCTTCAGCAGGCGTGCATGTTCTATTGTTTTTTTTTTTTTTTTTTTTTTTTTTTCATGTCCCTTTCGTATGTGAGCATGCCCACAAATCCATTCCAACTACTTGCATGTTATGTATCTTACATACGCCTTTGAACGATTTCAACGTTTTTCGGCAATAATGACCGCCGATACATGTGCGCGTGCATTTGTGTTTAGTATCTTTCGACGAATGGTCCAGGGAGATACACGTGCGCATCGTCAGATGCGCGGCTTTGGTGCCTCATAAGGATATTTTAGGAATTCCCCAGGAAGAAACTCGCTTGTAGAATTGTCTTTCGGGACATGCGTTAATATTGGAGCGATACAGAGAATGATGATTAGCATGGCCCCTGTGCTTTCAACGATGATATCATGATACGCATAAATCAAGAAATGATTAAAAAAATAAAAAAAATAAAAAATCGTTTGTATGATCGTAGTCCAAGAATTGCAGAGCATCATTCGACGGGAGGAAGTGGAAGAGTTTCGTCTACACAGTCAGCTGCAGACGGGAAGGAGACTAAGTTGATGAACTTGGAAGACAACATCACACACCTGAGCAGTATGAATCCATTGCCACTCGGTCGGGTGAGACTAACCAAATGTAGAAAAAGGAAGTGATACAATGTAGAAGAAGTAGGTGATATGATGATAGGCTAGGGCACGTAGTACCCATTACAAAGAAAAAGAGAAAGCAAAGAAAAAAGGGAAATATGGAAAAGATTTAACATAACCAACGAGCCTCGCTCAATCGGTACACCAATGAGCTGTTTGAAGTACAGACCTGAGTTCGATCCCAGATTGCACTGGATGAATGAAAATGAAAAATGATTCTGAATAACCTGCAGCTGGAAAAATACAAACAAGAAAGAATCCAAAAGAATCCAAAAGAATCCAATACATGTGTCGTGTCGTTCTCCCAGGCAGGGCTTAGGTTTGAAAACACTGAATGAAAGTTATAAAACACAACAAGGGCGCTGGACAGTCAATTCGTATTCGCAGTCACTGTGCAGTGTCGTTACCGTGTTATGCTCCGAGTTTTCAAACCTAAGCCCTGTCTATGAGAGGGACACGACTCACGGATCCTTTTGGATTCTCACCATATTTACGCACTGTAGACGGGAAAGGAATCGGGACGGTTGAAAATGGAGAAGGTGACCAGCAGTGGTTGAGTGGGGCATACCATGCGCTATGCGCTAAAGACCCGCAAGCCAAACTGTTCCTTAGGCTCAAGGCCGCTGCGTCTGGTTGCTATGCTGGGCTAACCACATGCTGTCAACGGGACGGGATGATCTCTTGCTGCTTGACCCAGATCCAGGTCATTGACTATACCGCCTCTTGGTTCAGTGGTCGATCCTCACGGCATTGACTTTGCCATCTCTGTTTGTGTCCCTCTCGAGTCAATAATCATGTTGAGTTGTGGACAGGGTCCAGGCTGCACTGATGTTTTGGCTCTGGTTGTCGGCTGTCCTGCCGATGGTTCTGTCCAGGTCATTAACTACACTGTCTCTGTTCCTGGTCCTTCCACTGGTCCAGTCCAGGACATCAATTACTGTTATCTCTGTTCCTGGTCCTTCCACTGGTCCAGTCCAGGACATTACATTATTTCGTGGTTCAACGTCATGCAACCAACTTCTCTCTTCCCTGTGATTCTAGGCTATGGTTCTGATGCTGGTCTGGGTCCAGGGCATCCATCAACTGTTCCTGGTCTTTGCACTCATTTTCAATGCCTGTGGCCGTCGTGTCGCCTCAAAGCTCATACTCCATCTTCGTCCCGGGCAAGATGAGATGTCTGGCGTGTGTGGTCGCTCGTGGTCGCATTGCATGCATCAAGACATGTATGGCATCCTTCCCTGCTTCCTTGTCTTCCGCCAGGCCATCTGATGCACTGTGGAGTCTCCGTTCCTGCCATGGCTCCAGGCTGGTTATAATGCTGGTCCTGGTCCAGATCATGAACTGTTCCTGGTCTATGCACTCTGCCTCTTCCCGGTCTGCCACCACGCCATCAGATGTCCTCCGGATTATCCCTTTTTATTTTTTATTTTATTTTTGTTTGGGACCATTTCTCAACTGATGCATGTCATTGTTACGTACCCGTTTGTAGAACTTTCAATCCACGATGAATTCGCACGCACCCATACACGCATCGCATGCAACTGCGGAGTAGAGACCCGAAGGAGGCAATTCCGCACAAAACCGGAGCGAGAGATGCACAGCGGAAGCTCAATGCCCAAGGAGAAGTGCATGTTAATTTCAGTTCTGATTTATGCCCGCTCCTCCTCCAATCAATCCACACTACGTAATTCCAAGAATCACAACTGCGTTGGCCGCAACCCCGAACAACCGAAAACAAATGTTCAACAAAGTATTCAGGAGTCGTCTTCTTCCTCCTCGCCACCTCAGAAGCCCTGGCTATGGCTGCTGTAGAAGCAGAACCCCCAAGCAGTCACCCCCGGGGCCAATCTGAACTAGACAACCCAACAATCGCCATGCCAGCTCAGCGCCCAGATGGAAGTGCCCCGCTGGAAATTCTCAAGAAAAGAAGAAGAAGACCATTCAGATGCTTCGAAGAAGAGAGTCTCTCGTGAGGAGGAACTTAAAAAAATATAAAAAAAAAACTGTCACCTGGATGTTGTGGCAGCGGACAAACCCCAAACAACGCAGGCGCAGCAAAAGGCTCGCCGCAATGCAGCCCCTACTTCAGGGTGCTTTTCAACAACCTTCACGACCACCAGCTATGGACTTCAAGACGACGAAGAAGGTGATGAGCTGAATGCCAAAATAGCGCTGCTGCGCTCAATCCTCAACCCGACAGCCTTTTCCCAGCAGAATGCAAATGAAAAAGACCCAAATACCTTTTCCCTCCCGCTACTTCTAGACTTAGGGCACCATGAGAGCACAGAACTACGGGCCTAGAAATGAAAGGCGGAAAAAGACAAAATGGAAAGTCTAGTGGTTCTAACTTCAAGCCTACAGACAAGATTGCCTAGCCACTAACAGGTCGAGGGATCAAGCCCTGTGAGGCTCAAAACGGCAAGAAAACGGACAACCAGTTAGTGTACACCCGCTGTTAACTTCAAGCTCATTGCATCATCCTTGTGCAGGGGCATGGGCCGCATGCTAATCGTCTCTGTATCGTTCCAACGTTAACGGATGTCCCGCAGGGCAGGCTATCCCCCGTTTCTACTTGGGCCACAGGGCGTAACTTTCATGGTCTGCATTATCAGTCCACGGCCACACCATGAACAGCACTCCTGTTTTGGGATGTGGTTCAGATGGAAGGAAGCCAGAGCCAAAAAAAAGAAAAGATGCCTCGACTTAGCACTTGGATGATGCGTGCATGCTGTCGGGAAATGTAGTAGAATCTGAGTTTCAAAGGTTTATTTTTTGTGTTTTTTTTATTATTATTGGAATCCTATGGGCGAATATGTGATACAGCACAGAAAACTCAGGGTAGCACGGCGGGGGAGAGGAGTGGCAGGCGGGGAGAATGCAGAACTGATACGATGCAGGCGGGGAGAGTGCAGAACTGATACGTGGCAGGCGGGCCCTTCTGATTTGTGTGAATGGTGACCTGGAATGATGAAATATGAACACCAAGGGCCTTGCTGCACTACTCACCGAATGTGTAAAATGAGAATGAATCTTGCCCTAGAACATGGCAAGATACGCCACCATATTTCTTGTCTTTTCTGCCTGTGGTGAGTAGCGGAGCTAGGCCCTATGCATGGTATCTTTTCCTCTCACATGAATGCTTGTGAATTCTTTTTTGTTTTGTCACATCTGTACATTCTGGATGCATGCCGTTTGTGGCAGTGATACTCACTGGAGGTGCAAGAGCAGGGGCGGACCACCAGCACAATCATAATGGGGAGGAGGTCGTTTGTTCCGGAGGAGCAAAGGTGTCACCTGCACCGAATCCCTGTTGATCTGATCCTAGCCACGGTGGTCACGTGGGTAGCCCTGCGGCCCAAGCCGGGGTAGGGGTTTCACCCACAGACCCCTGCTGCGCGGATCCCCGACCCCTGCCCCAGCCAAATCACCCCCGCCCCTGCCCCAATCCCGCCACCCC